AGCAGCAGGGTCTTTGTTGCCATGTGTGGGCTTCCTCTAGTTGTGATGAGCAGAGGTTACTCTTTGTAGTGGTGGTTGGGCTTCTCATTGCAGCAGCTTCGCTTGTCACGGAGCAGAGGCTCTAGGCATATGGGCTTCAGTAGCTGCAGCACTCAGGCTCAGCAATTGTGATCCATGGGCTTAGCTGCTCCGCAGCATGTGGAATCTTCACAGACTGCGGATCGAACCCGTGTCCCTTGTACTGGCAGGTGGATTCATATCCACTGCACCACCAGGGAAGTCCTAGACTCTGTTGATTTTTTAATTAGGAAAATTCACTATATTGGGGGCATAATTAAACCTTTATATTTAAGTCAGAAGTTTCTTGATTTGAAATGATCCAGAACAAGTTGCAGAGTTATTCAAAATTTAGTCCTCCCCCACAGGATAGCTCAGACCTCATTTAGCCACTAGCTCTTTCATGTTATGCAACCCTGGGTCTTGTCCTCAATGAGAACTGCCATATGGCTCCATCCTGTCACATACCATCATGCCTCAGACCAGAAAAGAAAAACATGACCATGATTCTGCCTGATCACAGATCTTCAACAATGCCCTGGGCTCTTCCCTCCAGAAGTGCAGCTGGCTGAGGAGCCTCTAAGTCAGCCTTAGACACCCAGGCACCCACTGCTAATCTCCAAGTGCAACTGAGCCCTTCCTTTTTGTTTTACCACTTAGTGGAGATTCATGTTTTATATTTATTTATTGCCATTTTTTCCCAGGTATTTTATAGAAGAAATGAAAGAGTGCTGCAGCTGTGTCCTCTGAGAAAAACTGGCAAAGATAAGCCAATCCTTGAGGATGTTACATTTGACCCTGACAATGAAACCAAAGATGGTAAAGGATCCAATGACAGCCTCAGAAGGGCAGCAGGTACAGGTAGAATCTCCCTCAAAGTGTGGCCTTTAGAATGATGCAAGGTAGTCCAAGGGCTTCCCTGGTGGCTCAGAGAGTAAAGAGTCTGCCTGCAATGCAGGAGACCTGGGTTTGATCCCCAGGTCAGGAAGACCCCCTGGAGAAAGGAATAGCTACTCACTACAGTATTCTTGCCTGGAGAATTCCATGGACAGAGGAGCCTGGCAAGCTACAGTACATGGGTCACAGAGTTGGATATGACTGAGCAATTAACAGATACACAAGGTTATCCAAAGAGATGGTTTCAAGCTGTGCTTTCTAAACCATCTATGTTGAAAAACGCTTACTTTCCCTCTCCCACTCCATCATTGACTGATCCTCTTGTACAATATAATAGCAACACTAGCTGACAATATGATCTAAATTTGCTTCCAGTATGAATGTACCAGGGGGTGGAGTGGATTTATCTTTGCAGTATGATACACATGCACCTGTGTGACCAAGGGCAGGTTGTCTGAAATCTTCTATAGTCCATTTTTTAATGCCTTCCTCAAGGATCATTGTAAGGTTTTGATTTTAAAAATCCAAGTGAATTGATTACATATTAGTATCTGGCAGATAGTGGGTTACTTAAATATTAACTCTTGCCTCTATTTCCAGGGCTGTCTTCCTAATATGTTCTAAAATAGCAAGCCACCTGGCATCTATTATAATGGATTGTGGACCCATTCTGATTAATTAGTGCTCATGCCTTTGAGGTCTGATAAATATTTTGAATATTACATGTCTATTATGTTCCTTGTGCAGAATATGTTCAAAGTTATAGTGGTGCATATTATAAACTAATAAATTATAAAATAATGAATTGGTACATAGTTTATCAATTCATCATGAGTGTGGATCATGTGAATCAGCCTTCAAAATCTAATCAAACTTACACATAATAATAGAATCAAGTTGTTGAACTTGCAAAACTGAGAAGTTTCTAGGCCACAAAACCCATGGAGATGGAATTCAACATTCCCCTGGGTCTACCCTCTAACCATCTTAGTGATAATTTAAAACACAAGGAGAGCCTGGGTGGAACCACAGAGAAAGCTGATTGACTATGAGAGCCAAATTCTCCTTGTGCCAGGAAGAGTTCCTTCTGAATATGGAGCGGGCTTTTGTAATAGAGGAGTGGTCTGTGGGTACTTCTGGTGCTAATATTCTGGACTCTTACTCCATGTTTTATCCAGACAAGCCCTGAAGGGAACTCTAGAAATAGATGCAAAGTGAGAAGAAACCAATGAATTTGACTCAATGCTGTGTAGCACTTCCCACGGAGAAGGCCATGGCACCCCACTCCAGTACTCTTGCCTGGAAAATCCCATGGACGGAGGAGCCTGGTAGGCTGCAGTCCATGGGGTCGCTAAGAGTTGGACATGACTGAAGCGACGCAGAAGCAGCACTTCCCAGAGCCATCTTTGCCTTTTCTCCAAGGCCACGATCTCCTGCCTTCTGGTCCGAAGGCAGCTCCCTTCCTGTTGCTGTGATAGTTGGAGGTTCGTCCTCCGCAAGAAGCAATCCCTAGGCCATGTCTGTAATGAAGCACTGCCAGGCCTTGGTGCTCTAGAATTATTTTCAACTAGTCCTCAGCCTGATACATGGCAAAACCAATTTCCCTATCTGCTTTGTTTTATTCTTAAGGGAAGCTCAAGAGGAGGACCAAACAACTTGGATTTATACTTTTCCCACAATTCCTGACTTTTTTTTTACTTTATTAAAATACTGAGTTTATTTCACATGTATATTTTTGTCTCCCCACCATTTCGATCTGTCTGACCACCACTACTACTATTCCTATCATAACATTCCATACATACTTAAAACCAAGCAAAGGGTGGAATTCCATCTTTAAAAACTAAACAGGCATTTTGGACAACACATTCTTGGCAATGGAACATGGACAACATTTATCAGAGATGGTAGGGAATGTTCTCACTCTGCATAATAAAAAGGATAGCCAGATATCAACTGTTATAGAAATGAAATAAGACAGAAAATTTTTAACAAACTGTTTAAACTGTTTTCTTAAAGAAATTTCCTCCACTGCCAGAGATCTTGAATAGCCTCCTGGTCAGTCATCAGGAAACAATTCTTCACATAATTGATAAACTTGGCTTCCACTTTGGGAAGGGAACCACTTTTTTCTATCCTTGCTTGCATTTTTGCTTTAATGTCTTCTACAGAGCTAGGTCCTTTCAGTGTTTTAGGTGTTTTTTCCTGTTTTTTGAAGGATTCTTGACCTTTTGATCTTGGTGTTGATGGTTTTGAGTCTTTTCCACTTTGATTTGGTTTTTGTGCATTTTTGGCTGGAGTATCTTGTACAGATTTCTTTACTGGAGCTTTTTCTTCAGCTTCCTCATCAAAATCATCATCATCATCATTGTCTGCATCATCATCATCGTCATCTTCATCAGCAGCTAGCTTTACTTTTTTCTGGGGAAACTTGCTACCACTTCTAGGGGCAGAACATTTTCCAGATATACTTAGGAGTTTCACATCCTCCTCCTCTTCATCTTCTGATTCTGCATCTTCCTCCACAGCTACTAAGTGCTGTCCACTGATATGCACAGGCCCTGAACCACACTTCAACCGGAAGACCACAGGTGGTGTAATTTCAAAGCCCCCAAGAGAAACCACTGGCTGTACAGACATTTTCAAAGTTGCCAGTGTTACTTTAATTGGACTGCCTTCATAATTCATCGCCTCTGCTTCAACAATGTGTAACTCATCCTTTGCTCCAGCCCCTAAACTGACCGTTCTTAAAGATAACTGGTGCTCATTTTCATCATTATCCGCCTTGAAGTGATCATCTCTGTCAGCCTGTAGTTCACAACTGAAAAGATAGTTCTGGGGCCTCAAGGGGCTCATGTCCATGTCCATTGAATCCTCCATGGGTTGGCGGCATGCACTTATGTGAAGCCGGACTGAATTAAACAACTACTATTCGAATGAACAGCCATGCAAGACAGAATCACACTAGGGATTCCTGACCTCTTTAAATGGAAATTCTCATCAACCAGCACACCAGGCTGGCGAATTGAGCACAATGGAGATGTGCTGGAATGATGTGAAGCCCTGGCATCATTATGAAATATCTTCTCAGGATTCTTTCCCTGCTCAGGTTCTGCATGCAGAAGAAAATTTTCTGAAACAGCCAAGCATAATCTCACACTGCAGTTCTGAGAGCTGGCCCTGCATACCTGAAAAAGGATTAGCAAAATCTTCGCCTGTCAGGGCAAAGCTGCAGAAACTGCATCCCAACCCCACTTTTCAGCTTGACCTCATCCTCACCTGGCTTGGCATAGCTCAAAGATTAAAGGATAAGTTTCAGCTTGCAGCTAGTTGTTTGACTTACCACCTGAGTTTGGAGTGTTTGAAAATTTTATCCACAGAGGCCACAGTGAAATTCCACCTTCAGGTTTGGCTTGCTAAGGCAGAACAAAATTCACTGTGGTTCAAGTTACTAGCAGATTTTTTAATGCCTTGGAATATTCTGATTGTATACTGATTTCTGCTTATTAAGAATGATTCAGCAATAAACAGAGGTCCATTTCCCTGTGCATACAAAGGCCTCTTTCCTACTTTAACTTAAGGGATATCACTTAGAGTAATTTTCATACACTGTGTGTTCCACAGTTTAATGGGCACTTCCACACACAGTACCTCACTTCACCTTCATGACAAGCCCTGAAGTCAGATAATTTCCCGTCACTGGGAAGTTCAGAGCATTTACTGTCTTGTCACAAGCAATTACAAGTCACTGCTAGAGTTGATAGTCAGACCTAGTTCTCCTGACTCCACTATTATGACTACCCTGCTGTCAGTGTGAGACTAGGTGATCCGACTCCTGACTGAGGTCCATGACGCAGGATGGAGGGGAAGAACCAGGACTCTGAGAGAGGACAGCTGACACCCTGAAGCTCACGTGACTCTGCCCACCACGCACACAGATTGCGTGATGATGCTGGTGCACAGGGGTGACCAACTCAGCTGCCTGGGACTGTCCTGGCATTAGCACTGAGACTCCTGTGTCCTGGGAACACCCTGGACAAACCGGGATGGTTCGCAAAGAGTTGGACGTGACTGAGCAAATTTCATTTGAGGGACTTTACCGAATGAGGACATCCGTATTTGTGCTGGCACCTTGTATGTTGGTACTCTTTGCCTTGGCTCATAAGTAAACAAGTTTTTGTTGTTGATGTAAACTTTGTCATCTTTGATTTGAAGATTAAGACTCAGAAGAGTTGTTTGGTTCACTTAACTCTTAACTCTGTCTGGTAATACCTGTGAGACATGCTGCGTTTCTTCAGTGTTTCGCTGCTAAGAAAATGGTGCTCCCAGTCAAGGCTGATTGACTGGTGGTGCTTTTACCTTTTGGATTTAATTTGGCCAGTGAGTTAGCATGACTAATTCTAATTGATAATTTTTTTTTCTCTCATGTACTTTCTCCTTCTTCTTCTTCTTTAAATGTATTAGCAATCTCATTCCTGGGCATATTCTGGACAAAACTATAATTCAAAAAGATACATGCACCCCTGTATTCACAGCAGCACTATTCACAATAGCCAAGACATGAAAACAACCTAAAGGTATATTGGCAGATGAATGGACAAAGATGTGGCACATATATACAATGGAATGTTACTCAGACATTAAAAAGAATGAAATAATGACATTTGCAGCAACATGGGTTCATCTAGAGATTATCATACTAAGTGAAGTAAAAAGAAAGAGAATACCATATCACTTATAGGTGAAACCTTAAACTGGCACAAATGAATCTAACTACAAAACAGACACAGACTCACAGACATGACTGGGACAGAGGTTGGGGGTTGAAGTGGGAGATGGGAGTTTAGCAGACAGAAGTACTACATATAGGATGGATAAACAAGGTCCTTCTAATTGATAATTCTGAATTAGGTATATAGATTTTAAGGTGGACCTACAACATTTATTATACTGAGAGAGGTATCTGTGGGCAAAGCTTATGCCAGGTTTTGAAAAGAAAATTTTGCTTATATCTGTTGTCTGTAAGTATATTTCATGATCTGAACAGCTTTTCAGACTTGAAAAATCTGCCCTACTGACTTGAGTCCACAAAGGTAAAATCTCCTTTGTGTAAAATAAATTTGCTTGGAGGTGAACGTGCCAGTAGACTTCCAAATAGTGTAAAAAATAAAATCCATCCTGGGTATTCTCCTATCAATAGTCAGTAAATCCCAAAGATTCCAGCACCATTGTATCTTATTTTCAGAAAAAGTCCCTTGACATAGTTAAACAACTACTTCAGAAGAGTGAAACACTTGCCAAGTAGGTGAAAACCCTTAACATTTTGAGAGCCGGAAAGAGGCTGGACTTCAGTTCCCTTTCTCTCTGCACTGTATGCCTTTGTGTCATGCACAGCCTATACAACTGTACGAGACAGTCCATAATCTGTTCACGTGCAGAGCTAGCAAATTTTACATATCTTTCTATCCCTCAAATATCTAGAAACCATAGTTATCCATACTCATGTTCTATATATCCTTGACTCCTCTTTTCTAATTTTGACCTTCTATTCCAATCTTTCACACTTTCCTGGCCTTGTTTTCATTTATGTTTAATTACATGTTTTCTACAAATTACATCAAGTCTCTGTGCTGTGAAGTGTTAATAGAAAATCAATAAATACATACACACACATCCCTAAAATCAGCTGTGCCTTGCAGAGCAGCTAAAGAAGCACACAATACATTTTTACTGAGTCATGTTGAGCTGAACTAACCTGATATATTTTTATATCCCCAAAATATAAGATGGATAAGAAAGCTTTCAGTCATTTTCCATAGGATTGGCTATCTTGTCTTTGTTAGAGCTCTACTCATAGTTTGATCATTACAGGTTACCATGTTTCTTTTCAAAACTTGACTGCAAAGGGTGAGGCTTTTGGCTCATTGAAAGTCTAGAAGGCATAAGTCATATCACTCAAGGCATAACTTTTGAGCCAGACTATTTATCTGAGGGCACAAGAAGCTGTTATTTACCACAGACTAAGCTAATCAACAGGCAGAAAAAGTCTGTTTACTGAAATACAACACAAAAAGAAAGACAGAATGGGCACCCCTGGGAAAGTAAGCAGAACATTTCTGTATCCACATGATCTAATAATATGGGTCTGGTTGTTAGAACTTGAATATCTTAACATAATTAAATACTTGGGGATATTTCTTAGGGAATTAAAAGCCTGTTGAGCAAGCATACCCTGGGGGATGAGGGAGAGCAAGGGGTTGGGATTTCAGAGAATGCCAGTAGAAACCCTATATGCAAAACAGGAAAAGAGACACAGATGTACAGAACAGACTTTTAGACTCTGTGAGAGAAGGCGAGGGTGGGATGTTCTGAGAGAATAGCATTGAAATAAGTGTTTGAGACAAGTGCTCAGGGCTGGTGCACTGGGAAGACCCAGAAGAATGGGATGGAGAGGGAGGCGGGAGGGGGGATTGGGATGGGTAACACATGTAAATCCATGGCTGATTCATGTTGATGTATGGCAAAAACCACTACAATATTGTAAAGTAATTAGCCTCCAACTAATAAAAATAAATGGGAAAAAAAAAGACAGACTAACAGGAAAAAAATAAACAGGATGTATTAACTTGTATATTTCCTTCATGCATGGAAGAAACTCAGGCATGAGTAAACTCAAAAGAGGTGGCTAGAACTTGAGCTTAAATACCATCTTCAGCTACAGCAAAGGAAGATGGGTGTGGGGGAAGCAAGTTATTGGAAGGTGACCAGGAAAAGTGGGCCAAACAGCTGTTTGTTATGCAGATTTAATTCACAGCCTTCTCCATTGATAAGATTCTCTTGTGACTTAGAGTCACCCTTCTCTTCCTGGTAGAGGGAGGTAGATGTTTTTACAAATGATGATTTCCTTTATGAAAATGTAATGCATGCTCTATTTCCTGTGCTTCTCCTATATCTGCTATTTCCCAAAATAGTCCACTCCAAAAATCCTTATGCCAAAGACGAATATTTGGGTTGGCATTCTCTGGTCTTCTACATGTACATATACATATAAGAAGCCCACACCCAGCCCTGCCTCTTCTTCAGGACACGGAGTTAAGTAACTTGGAAACCCATGGTGAAGAAAGAGATGGAAACAGTCTAGTACTTCACCTCCAAAGCCACTTATTTGTAAATCATTTCATTAGTAATGAAGGATGTGGTAGAAATACTCTCTAGTTTCTATTACTTCATAGAAAAAATATATGTTTTTGTACTGAAAAAAAAAAGAAACAGGGTAAAACAGCATATGGGAGCTTTTTCAGTAAGAAAAATGGGAAAATGTGGTTTCTATTGACATTATTAATAACTGAATTTCAGGATAGCTGGGCAATTGTTCTGGTAAGCAAAATGTTTCCATAAATTGACTTTCAATGGCACATACTGCTATTTAGTACTTCTCAACACACAAAATGTTCATTCTTAGATGTTTCCAGTGTGACTTTTATCTGTCTTTCTCAAGCGCAAAAACTCCTCCATGCTCCACATACTTCATATTTATAGTTTGACTTTAAATCCCAACTATTAATCCAGCAGGAATTAGTGTGGGGTTGTGATGTGAAATTTCTAGCATCAAGACTGGACCACATTGCACTGTGACTCTTTTCATATTGTTCATGGGTCATTACTGCAGACAGTGACTGCAGCCATGAAATTTCTTCTTTTTCCTTAGAAGAAAAGCTATGACAAACCTGGACAGTGTATTAAAAAGTGGAGACATTACTTTGTCAACAGAGGTAGAAAAGATAGAAGGCAGATGGAGAAGAGGACGACAGAAGATGAGATGGTTGGATGGCATCACTGACTCAATGGACATGAGTTTGAGCAAGCTCCAGGAGATGGTGAAGGACAGGAAAGCCTGGTGCGCTGCAGTCCATGGGGTCAGAAAGGGTCAGACATGGCTGAGTGACTGAACAACAACAACAAAGAGGACAGGAACAAAACAATAGAGTCAGCAACACTGTGACCCATGACATTTGCCTCAGAGAGGCTGAGGGTGAATGTTAAAATCACTGATGGCTTTCAGCGTCCCATCTGTTTCCAGCATATCATTTCTCAAAGTCTCTTGTAAAAGAGCCATGTAACTATCCATCTGAAGCAGATCTTAGAAATGGTGTATTAGTTGACAAGTAAGATGAAAGATAACTGGTAACTCATTTGGCATCTGAACAAATGAATTAAAATATTTTATAGGATTCCTAAACAGATTTGAGGATGGAAAATCAAGAAAACAATCTCTCTCCCCTTCTCTGATTTCAATAATGTCAGCAAAATTCTTTAATTAAATAACTACCCAAACCAGCTGGACAGCTGAAGGCTCCTCACTGAGATGCTCCACTCTTTAATTTCCACTTCTGTGAGGGGAGGAGTCTGGTGGGCTGCTCTCCATGGTGTCGCACAGAGTCGGACACGACCGAAGCAACTTAGCAGCAGCAGAGATGAGAAGCCTTACCTCACCTATCTAGACCCATGAGATGCAAGAACTGGACTGGGTACAAAAAAGGATTAGGAGATGCAAAGAGATCGTCATTCAGGAATTCGCAATCTATACGCATATGATGTTCAAGGTTCCCTTCTTCTCTAAACAAGCTAATTTTCTAATATCCTCACCATTGCCACATGATTATACAGCTATTAAATACTGGCTTAGATTCTTGAAGATATATATCAACAACATTTTCTGTTTTATAAATCTGCTCTTGTGAATAAGGGATACACAGGTGACATTTTGTTACTTTGAAATGGTAGTAAAAGAACCTAGTTTAGTAAAATATTATGTGAGCACAGGCAGAGAAAAAGCAAAGGGCCAGAAAGGGTGTACCTCAGAATCTGGTCCAGCCCTGCTTCCCACGTGTTCTGTCACCAAGGATCCAGCTGTTAGTGTCTCTGGCCTGCACTCCTCATATATAAAACACAGGTGTACATAAGATGATCTCTAAAGATTACAAAGTGATCTGTCCAGATTTGTATTGTTTGGAGAGTTTGTAACTGTAAAGACAAAGTTGGAACCTGTTTATAACTCTCACCAGTTTCTTAGGTTATTAAACGTAAAGTGGCTGTGCTATGGGAACAGAGGAAACCCTTTTCCATTGAGGAGATACACCAAAGGCGAAAGAAGTCCATATTAAGGTAATCACCTGAGAGTGCATCAGTTCAGTTCAGTCACTCACTCGTGTCTGACTCTTTGCAACCCCATGAATCACAGCACGCCAGGCCTCCCTGTCCATCACCAACTCCTGGAGTTTACACAAACCCATGTCCACTGAGTCAGTGATGCCATCCAACCATCTCATCATCTGTCGTCCCCTTCTCCTCCTGCCCCCAATCCCTCCCAGCATCAGGTATTTTCCAATGAGTAAACTCTTTGCATGAGGTGGCCAAAGTATTGGAGTTTCATTTTCAGCATCTGTCCTTCCAATGAACACCCAGGACTGATCTCCTTTAGGACGAACTGGTTGGATCTCCTTGCAGTCCAAAGGACTCTCAAGAGTCTTCTCCAACACCACAGTTCAAAAGCATCAATTTTTCAGTGCTCAGCTTTCTTCACAGTCCAACTCTCACATCCATACATGACTACTGGAAAAACCATAGCCTTGACTAGATGGACCTTTGTTGGCAAAGTAATGTCTCTGCTTTATAATATGCTATCTAGGTTGGTCATAACTTTCCTTCCAAGGAGTAAGCATCTTTTAATTTTGTGGCTGCAATCACCATCTGCAGTGATTTTGGAGCCCCCAAAAATAAAGTCTGCAAGTGCATATAAGCCTAAAATTTCATCACCCCTACTTTGAGTATATCATTATTGTGAGGTTGGATCCTTAAATAAGGAAATGTTCCCCAATATTCAGTTATTAACTCTCATTCTGTTTTTTTTAAATTGATAAGGCCATAGTAGGTATAAAATTAATGACTTAGTTATTGATTAAAAAACAATTCTACTAATCTGCTCTATATAACTTTTATTTGTTGAATTTTTATTGACACTGATAAAAAATGGTTAATCATTATGACTAATGACTATTTTTTAAAACTTCTGGGTATCAAATAACAATGAGATTACTTTTCACAAAGAATAAGGAACTCATTTGTGCCTGGAGAAATAACAGCTTCCTGGAACATTCCCCCCACTCCTTTGGACAGAGCCTGACCATTGTTTTGGTCACCAGGTTATTGAATAGTCATTGCTGCCATCTTTCTTTGACCATCTCTTGTTATCTGAGCACTGTGATAGCATACAATTTTGCTCACTTCTCTTCTGCACACCATTCTCATTCCCTCTATCTTTCATCAAGAGGAAGAACTAACTGTAAAAATCTACTTTTGTGCCTGATAACAAACTGCATTCTAGTTCCCTCACAGGAGCATCAGTTTACTTCAAAAAGACTGAGATTCAAAATACAGCCAGAGGCAACAGTACTATAAATTCCTTAAAGAGAGAGATTCTGGTTTGATGGTTGATCCTCAGCTCAGAATTTGAGAATCAACACTATTATATTGGGCAGTCATCCAGCATAAACAATTATAGTCTTTTCAAGAAAGAGATAAATGTCTTCCCAACTGTAAAACAACCCCTTTGCTGGTTCGTGCAGTGTTCTTAACTTTGAACCCAGATGTTGGCAATGGGAATCTGTCAAACAGATAACCACGTGATAAAAAGGAGCAATACTGTCTAAGTTTTCAGTGATTGTGGGACATGAAGCCACTGGGGTTGTAGACAGCATTGGAGAAGGAGTCACTACCATAAAAACAGGTGTGCAAATGTCAAGCCACAAGTCTGAGATAAGTAGGGTTATCTATCCTATCAAAGGAAATAGTGCAACTAGGAATTATTAGAGGAGCCTTAATGAATTTAGGAGGATAAAAGAACACAAGGAAAATGGGTTGTATAGAGTGAAATTTAATTTGGCAAAGTCTCAACCTTTAGCAAACAAATTTGATGTGCTTATAAACTTTAGGATACAGGCATACATTGTTTTATTAAACTTTGCTTTACTATGCTTCTAAGAAAATGCTTTTTTTTTTTTTTTTACAAATTGAAAGTTTGAGGCAACCCTGCCTCAAGCAAGTCTATCAGTGCCATTTTTCCAATAGCAAAATTTTTAATTAAGATATATACACTGCTATTTTACACAATGCTATGGCATACTTAAAAGACTACAGGGTAGTATAAGCATGATTTTTTTTATGCACTGGAAAAAACAAAAAATTTGTGTGACTCACTTTACAACAATGGTCTAGAACTGAACCTGTGATATCTCCAAGGCATGCCTCTACTCTTAGGCAATTCTTGCATGTGGCATGGGCTCAATTTACATTCACCTATTTCATCCTTTAATGTTAACGACCAACACATTATATCATGTTTTCCCTCTAGATGACAAAGTCATTTCCCAATTTCTGCCTCAGTGTAGAGAATGCAATACTTGTCGCTACACATCTGGCAACCTTTGTATAAGGGCAGAGTAGGTTTCAGTCTTTTTTCTCTAATGCCATTTAATTGTTCCTGTGCTAATTCTTGAATTGAATTAACATGAGTATTTGACATATCAAACCATTACAGGTCATGGAGTCCTGGCTGATGGCACCACTAGATTTGCGTGCAAGGGCAAGCCAGTCTATCACTTCTTGAGCAGCAGTACACTCACTGAGTACATGGTGGTGGGTGAAATTTCCATTGCTAAGATTGATGATGCAGCTCCTCCTGAGAAAGTCTGTTTAATTGGATGTGGATTTTCCACTGGATATGGGGCCACTATTAAGATTGGCAAGGTAAGAAGCAGGGTAGGCTAGTTTCTTATTTTATTTTTTAAATGCTTTTTTTTTTAAGGAAAACTGAAGATTTTTAAAAAGCAAAGCTTTTTAAAGCATCTCATATGCAGGCTGTTTCTATGCAATGCCAAATCAACTGGAAGAAAATGAAAAATTCAGATTCAAAATTTTATTTCTGAATAAGAGAAAATAAAATCTCTAGATTTAATTTTGTTTCCTTTGTATTTCCTTCCGTTTCTTTTCTAAAATTTAGACTCACATCTAAAATTATCTTTTTTCACAAAATAAGTATTAATGCTGGCATGTTAATTTGCTAGGGCTGTTGTAGCAAACTGCCACAGACTGAGTGGCTTAAACAACAGAAACTTATTGTCTCACATTCTGGAAACCAGAAACCCCAAATCAAAGTGTTGGCAGGACTGGTTTCTTCTAAGAGCTGTGAATGAAAGATCTATTCCAGGTCTCTCTCCTTGGCTGTCTTCTCCCAATGTCTCTTCATATCACCTTGCTTCTATGCCAGTCTTTTTATCCAAATTTCCCCCTTTTATAAGGACATCAATCATACTGGATTAGAACCCATCTAATTACCTTATTTTAAAGTTTATTACTTCTGAAAAAAACCCTATCTCCAAATGAGATCACATTCTGAGGTACTGGGAGTTGAGACTTCAATGTATAAGTAGTTATGTGGGGGGACAAAATGCAACCTCTAATGGCTAGCATATAGTATGAAAACATGAAAGCTTAAGAGTGATTATTTGGACTCAACTTATGTCAGAGGAACTGAGGAGCTTCTTGATGAAAGTTAAAGAGCAGAGTGAAAAAGCTGGCTTAAAACTCGGCATTCAAAAAACTAAGATCATGGCATCAAGTCCCATCACTTCATGGCAAATAGATGGGGAAACAATGGAAACAGTGACAGACTTTATTTTCTTGGGCTCCAAAATCACTGCAGTTGGTGACTGCAGCCATGAAACTAAGACACTTGCTTCTTGGAAGAAAAGCTATGACCAAAAAAAAAAGAAAAGCTATGACCAATGTAGACAGCATATTAAAAAGCAGAGATGTTGCTTTGCCTACAAAGGTCCATCTATGGAGTCAAAGCTGTGGTTTTTCCTGTAGTCATGTATGGATGTGGACCATAAAGAAGGCCTAGTGCTGAAGAATTGATGCTTTTGAACTGTGGTGTTGGAGAAGACTCTTGAGAGTCCCTTGGACTGCAAGGATATCAAACCAGTTAATTCTAAAGGAAATCAGTCCTGAAGCTTCATTAGAAGGACTGACACTGAAGCTGAAGCTCCAGTACTTTGGCCTCCTGATGCGAAGAACTAACTCACTGGAAAAGACCCTGAAGCTGGGCAAGGTTGAAGATGGGAGGAGAAGGGGATGACAGAGGATGAGATGGTTGGATGGCATGACCAACTCAATGAACAGGAGTTTGAGCAGGCTCCAGGAGTTGGTGATGGACAGGGAAGCCTGGCATGCTGCAGTGCATGGGGTCACAAAGAGTCAGACACAACTGAGGGACTGAACTGACTGACTATGTCACTCTTAATGAGTAGAAGAAACGGGTAAAATAACACACAATTCATAAACACTAAAACCATTCCCACAGACAATCCTGTATGTGGTGGTATCATCCAATTCCGAAGTCTTAAAAATTGTCCATATGTTAGTTGGGTTGAAATTTCTATCTCCAGTACTCTCTCTGAACCCCAAATTCTTTCATCCAATGCCATACCTGACACCTCCCTTTGAGGATCTCACAGATTTCTCAAACTCAGAATGTATCAAATGGAATTCTTAATTTTCTTCCTCTTTGTCACCCAGCCATATTTATGCCCACTCTAATTTTCTTCATCCTCTATCTTCCCTCTCCATCACCTTATATATAATCCAGCAGCAAGTCCTGCTAACTTTACCCTCAAGGTATATTTTAAATCTTTCCATTTTTTTCATCTCAATACCATCATCGTGTCTTCACTGGACCCAGTGGCCTCCCTTTTATTGTTTTCATTACTCCTCTTGACCATTCCCAGTAATTCTCCATTTATAAGTCAGAGTAATTTTATAAAACATAAACTGGTCTGCATCACATCTTTGTTAAAAATCCTTCAATAGCTTCAATTCTTGGAACAATCTCATCTCATCCACTATAATCCACTCACATTCACCTCTCATGAGATCTGTAAGCCTGCTGAGCTGTCCCTGTCTTGCATGAAAATATTTACATGAAGTATTCTAATTGTCTGGAACATTCATCTACTGAGCCCTTATGTGGCTGCTTCCTTAACATTATTCTCAGTTTAAAGATCACCTGCTGGGAAAAGATACAATACTGGAAGAAACAGAAAAGTGAAAGTGTTAGTCACTCAGTCATGCTTGACTCTTTGTGACCCCGTGGACTGATAGACTGCCAGGCTCCTCTGTCCATGGGATTCTCCTGGCAACAATACTGGATAGCCATTCCTGGGTAGCCATTCCCATCTCCAGGGACTCTTCCTGAGCCAGAAGTTGAACCCAGGTCTCCTGCATTGAAGGCAAATTCTTTAAACTGAGCCACTAGTGAAGAAACAGAAAGACTACCAATTTAGAATTCCATCCTAGTAAAATATAATCTAAAAATTAAGGAGAAATACATGTTTTCTCAAAAAAGAAAATCACCTGCTTGCTCAAAGAAGTTCTTTATTTCTTTCTATCCACTCCATCTAAGCAGGAATCTCTTTCTGTTATTCAAGGTAACATGATTGCTTCATTAATAGTATGGTCCCAAATTTCAAATTCTCATACCTTTACTTTTCACTAACCACAAGCTCCAGGAAGGTATGGACAAAGTCTCTGTTCACTACACTGCTTAGCAAGGAGCCTGGACATAGTAACGACTCAATAAATAATAATTGGAAAAAAAGAGATGTATGAATGAATAAAGAAAAGGGATGTCCCAATAAAGGAAATATATGTCCAAAAGAAGACCAAAAAGGTGAGGAGTTTGTGGAAAATATACATATGGCTGTTCAAACAGATTTATTCCAAGAAAGAGATGAGAGAAGGGACATTGGATATAGTTTAAATTAGTATTCTACTTTTTTACTGCGCTAGTAAAACTACCAGAGAAACTACAAGAAAAGGCAGAACATGCCCAGTTTAGTTTCTGATGACAAAGAATTCATCAATAAAATTTGTTGTGTGGATGAGTGAATGATGAATGATATTTGAGAGAATGGCCACACGGATTTCAAAGCTCCAAATTCAGGAACTGAACCGAGAGTTTGGGAGGCCACAGCTGAAATTATAGCTCATGGAGAGTGGGTATGGCACTGCTGTGCCCACATAAATCCCTGCTTATAAGTTTAGACATTTCAAAACACATGCATAGATATATACAGGTCTTTCTGTTTTCAGGTTTCCTTGCTCCCTGCTGTGTAATAGGATTAAGAGTGTTCTAGCAGGAAGATGACTTTTGTCTAGAATCTTCTTTAATATAGCATGAAGCAAAAGTGTTAGTTGCTCAGTCACATCTGACTCTTTGCAACCCAGGGCCTATGTGCTGGTTGCATAGTCCACCGGAATTCTCCAGGCAGCAATACTGGAATCAGTAGCCATTCCCTTCTTCAAGGGATCTTCCCAGCCCATGGATTGAACCTGGGTTTCCTGCATGATGGGCAGATTCTTTACCATATGAGCCACAAGGGAAGCCCTAATAACACATAGTACGGGGTAAAAATCCCCCAAGTGATTTAACTACATTTTCTTCCTGAAGCTATACATGGATCGATAATCTATTTCAACATGGAGGTTCAACTTCAATGAAAAATACTCAGTTATGATCACTAAGAACATGCTGGTTAAACCAAATCTAAAACAAACTTGGCGTGAGTTTGTGCTGTTTCTGGTTCTCTTTGTGGCACTGTCGTGAGAATGAGTCATTCAGTCCTAACAACTCATCAAAGTGATCTTCTGAATTTCATATTCTGATACTGGAGATACTTTGCAGGTTCTACCTTTTGACCCTAGGTCTAGCATTTACAGGACTTATCTCCCCATAGGTCACCCCTGGCTCAATTTGTGTGGTCTTTGGCCTGGGAAGAGTTGGCCTTTCGGTCATCATGGGCTGTAAGTCAGCTGGTGCATCCAGGATCATTGGGGTTGACCTCAACAAACACAAATTTCAAAAGGCCATGGCTGTAGGAGATACTGAGTGATCAGCTCCAAGGATTTCACCATCAGTGAGGGGCTGTCGGAAATGACAGGGGACACTATGGGCTACAGTTTTGAAGTTATTGGGCATCCTGAAACTCTGGTAAGAGCCAAGATAAGGGGAGCCACATAGTACACAAACTACCTTGATTGCACAAAGGTAGACTCATTTTCCATAGCTTTACTGATAGTAACTACCTATTAGGCAAAATACCTGGTAATCGTGAAGCAGTTGCACCTAAAGCCATACACAAACTTATGTGCAGGTCTGCCTGAGAAGCTAAGTGTCACATCACACCACCCTCATGTGACCAGACTGCGAGGGAGTCAACCATCAGGGCAAAGTGTTCAAGTATTAATCTGCTTTGTATATATGGCACTTTCTTTTTTTTTTTTTTTTTGGCAACAATGATTACATCTTTTGAACTTTAATAAGCCAAATAGCCTAAAGTGACTCTCTGGGGAGAGAGCAGGAGAACAGGGCATGGGTGGAGGGGCAATTCCAAATTTGGCAGTCTTTCCTCAAAACCATGATGTAGCCAATTTCTCACACTATACGTGAGCTTTGCTTTCTCTTATCTGAATTCTCTCAAAATAGGAGCCTTCAATTCTCTAAAATATGCCTCCCTTGTGGCAGCCAGTAGCACCAGACTTCTGCTTAGATCTGAGGACAGATCTTCTGGACTAGAAAGCCCCAGTCTGGCTTAGGGTAAGAAAGAACTGCAATATGGGACACAGTCACTTCTGCTCCCAATTGAGCAGTAGACTAAATTTGCTCTAATACTTTTGGTACCTTAGGAATAAGTAGTCTTTACCACTGCTGTCATTCCCCTTCCCTGGTGTCACTTAGAATTATTACATAGCAACTAATACCACATTTACACAGTAAATATGCAATATTGGATATTGTTAGGGTCTGTTGATTTCCAGATGATACTTTAATGAACATGGGTCTCTAACAAATAACATCTATTGCTATAACCTATCAAGTATTCAGAAAAACTGTTAATGAATAGTTAATGGGCAGATGACCAGAAAATGTGGGATTAGTCTCAGAACTGGAACCAAGAAAGGGATTCCTTTGTCCTACATTTTAGTATTTAATTTTCATACTAAACTTTAATTTAAAAAACTGGGTCAATTGATTCACTCTAGGTAATTTGATTTAGTTTAGTTCAAATGGCTTTCTAAGCCTTCTCAAGTGGTGATATTGTTCTGAAAATATAGGAAACTTCCCCCTGCATTTTGGTCCATGGTAAACTGAAAATGCCATGAAGACTGACCACATTAATTTCTACTTTCTGCCTTAAAAGTCAAATGTACAAACAAGTTTAAGTTGTGACTAAAATTGTGTTGAGAATTTTTTAAAGTAAGCATAAAGCAAAAGGCATGTGGGCCTAATTTTAGTTCATGACTTGGAAAATAAATCAACTATTAGAACCACAATCTATGTAGGGTATTTCTGAATCTGTAACATGAAATGAGAAACATTCTCTTCGTTCTAAACTTAGATTGATGCCTTAGCATCTGCAACATGAACTATGTGGTCAAGGTGGAGGTAGGGGCTCCTCCATCAGCCAAGATGCTCACTTCAACCCAATGCTGCTCTTCACTGGATGCACGTGGAAGGGATGCATTTTTGAAGGTAAGAATGACAGAGTCTCTGGCCTGAGAATGTGGCTTTAACTCTGTGGACAATGAGAGAAGTCTCTTTTTTCATCATATCCTCCCTGAAAAGTCTTTCTTCCAAGAATGGATATGAAGTGATCTACAATGAAACTGTGGCCATGATGGTACAAAAGATAATCCCCCTACCCTGACTTACTGCTAGTATTGGTGGGCATATTTTTAATATTAGCATCTGCAACTCAAGTTCTCCAAAGGCCCAAATGAGAGGCTCCAGCACTCTCTATTGGGATGATTTTATGAAACAGAAATTTCTGACTTAATCTATTATTTTCAACATACATGAGAATGTGTGTGAAAAATAGAATTTATTTGATTCACTAAATAGCATCAATAGAAAGTTCTGAATCTAAAGCAAAAATAAAAGGGATTGTCCCATTTTATGGGGATGATTGAAATTAACACTGGAAAGACTGACACAGACAATGGTCAACTCAGTCCTGGTCTTAAATGAACTATCAGTAGGATTTGATACAGCTGGTGGCTCCCTCTTTCTCAAACACCCTGTGCACCTCACTTCTAGATATTACTTTGTTGTTGCTGCTGTTGTTCTTCCTGCTCCCTTCCTCCTCCTCTTCTTTCTCCTTTATTCCTCCTCCTCTTTCTTTCTCATTGGTCACTCCCTCCAGGAATCTTTGCTGGGTTCCCCACATCCCTAAGATTCTAACTTTGGTGTGTCCTAAGGTTCAGTGCTCAGCCCTCTTCTCCTCTTTATTTACATTTCCTTCCACGGTGATCTTCTGTGGTCTCAAGACTGTAAATACATTCTACCCACAACACTTAAGTTTATATCTTCAGCCTAGACCTGAAGACATAAAGGTTGCATACCTGGCATCTCCACTTGGATAGCTGACAGACATGTGAACTTTACCTGCCCCAAACCACTCCTGTCTCCCAACCTTCCCATCTCAATAAATGATGACTCCATCATTCCTGTTGATCAGGCCTCAAACCCTGGGTTATGCTCTTTCTCTCATACCATGAGTATTTCAGCAAAGCCTATTGTCTCTACCTTCAAAGTATACCCAGGATTTGATCATTTCTCACCAGCACCATCACTTGTCCAAGTCACCGTCACCTCTTCCTGCATGATATCAATGACTTAAATGGTCTCCCTTGGACTGCAAGGAGATCCAACTGGTCCATCCTAGAGGAGATCAGTCCTGGGTGTTCATTGGAAGGAGTGATGCTAAAGCTGAAACTCCAGTACTTTGGCCACTTCATACAAAGAGTTGACTCATTGGAAAAGACCCTGATGCTGGGAGCGATTGGGAGCAGGAGGAGAAGGGGACGACAGAGGATGAGATGGCTGGATGGCATCACCGACTCGATGGGCATGAGTTTGAGTAAACTCCGGGAGTCAGTGATGGACAGGGAGGCCTGGCGTGCTGCGATTCATGGGGTTGCAAAGAGTCAGACACGACTGAGCGACTGAACTGAACTGAACTGAACTGAAATGGTCTCCCTGCTTTTGCCCTTTGTCTCCTAAAGTATTCCCTACAGAGCAGCCAGAGGGTGAGACTATTAAAAGGAAAATCCGATCAGGTCACACTTCTCCCAAACACCTCTAACGTCTTCCTTTCTCACTCAGGAGTAAAATCTCAAAACACGTGATGGCCGAAAGGCCCCATGTGATCCGGCCCTCTGAGCCCAGCCACTACTACCGCTCTCCTCTATTCCCGACACACCGGCCTCCTCACTGTTCTCATCGGCCAACACTTCACCTCAACGCCTTGATAATTACTCTGCTGTCTCCCCGAACTACTTTACCCCAAGATTTCTGGATAGTTCCTGTCCCTTATGTTTTTGTTCAGATGTCACCCTATCAGACTGGCCTTCCCTAAGCTTTAAAAAAATCACATTCCGTCCTCACCTCCCTAGCTTCAGCCTCTGCACAACCTACTGCCCCCACTCTGTTTCTCTCCTTCGTTCTCGTCATTGATGATGTACTCGGCAATATTTGTTTACTGTCAGTCTCCCTGAACTAAAGTGAGGGGATTCTTGGGCTTCCTGTTCTTCCTGAGATCAGGGACTGGGCATTTTTTTGCCCCATCATGTTCCCATCCCTGAAATGGTACCTGGTACTTGAAGTGAAAGTGTTAGTCACGCAGTCATGTCCAACTGTTTGCAACCCCGTGGACTGTAGTCTGCCAGGCTTCTCTGTCCATGGGATTCTCCAGGGAAGAATACTGGGGTGGGTTTCCATTTTCTTCTCCAGGTTATCTTCCCAACCAAGGGACTGAACCCAAGACTCCTACATTGCAGGTGGATTCTTTACCATCTGAACCATCAGGGAAGACACCTGGTACTTAGCATGTACTCAAAAGGCATTCAGTGAATATGTGAATTCTACTTCTAACTCATCAATAATCCATAATGTCCCTACATCACACAAATAGTCAAAGTGAGGAAGCTCAACTTATATCTCTTATTGTTTATTTATCATTTAGTCTTATTTCCTCTAAGGAGCCCTCTCTGAAGAATCTCCTCTGTACCATACAGCCTCTCATTTTTTGTGTCCCAGGTACTGTGGAAAGAGAAAAGGCGTGGCCTCACACTGACCATAGTATCTGTCTCTGGTGACCTTGACAAGCGTTATAGCAGCCAGGTACTGAGTGGGCTCAAGAGAAAATAAGAGAAAAGGAAGTGGAACTGAGGACACGAGACAATTCTTCCTGCAAAGTAGTTTTTCTCTAAGAGGAGAAGAGATATGAGGTAGTTAGAAGCTGTGGGAACAAGAAAGCTTTTTCATGAGGTTTCTGTCTTTGTTTCTTAAGAAGGGAGAAATGCAGTTCCATTGTGTGCTGCTGAGAATAATACCATCCAGGATAAAGGTAACAGTACAAGAGAGAGAAGGAACAAATATAAGATAATAAAATATAAAATTCATTTAGTAAACTCTAAAGAGAGCATGTATGCTTATTTACAGACTGGAAAAGCAAAGATCATGTTCCAAAACTGGTGAATGATTTCCTGGAAAAGAAATTTGACCTGGACCAATTGATAACACATGATTTACGTCTTTAAAAAAATCAATGAAGGATTTGAACTGCTCAACTCAGGACAAAGTTACCTGCTTTTTTATGGTTATCTTGTCTCCTCCCCATAGGCTACCTTTTAAATTTAATATTTATAAATGTATGTTTCCCTCATATTTTATATTATTTTATGTAGCAAGATTGATATAGACTTACAAAAAGAATAAGTCTTCTTCATAGACTTACTGTGTCATTGTCCTATAAAACCAATTTTTAAAACCTCTGTACTTTGGTTTTTTAATACTAGATTGATTTCATCTTAGGTATTTTTATTTCATCACAAACCTGCTCACTTTTTCAAGTATTGCCACAAAATTTCCTTACTTTGTAGTTTTTAAAGTGCTTTTTTAAAGTGTGTTTTCTTCTGATCCTTGAAGATTAGGCTTTGTTTGCTTACTTGTTTTTTTAACTTTTTATTTCCTTCAACTATTTCTACCACCCCATAATCCTGCTTATGGCAACCACCAATCTGTTCTCTGTATCTATGAAGTTGTTGTTATTTCAGATTCCACATTCCATATACAAGTGAGATCATATAGCATTTGTCTTTGACTGACTCATTTCACTTAGCATAATGCACTTGAGGTCCATCCGTTTTGTTGTAAATGGCAAAATTTCATTCTTTAATGACTAAATATTCCATTACACACACACACACACACACACACACACAGTTTATTCATTCATCCATCCATGGACACGGGTCATTTCCACATCTTGGATATTGTAAACAGGGCTGCAGTGAGCATGGGAGTGCTCCCTCTCATTTCCCACAGTTGTTACCTTAAATTCAGTTATCTCTCACTGACCATGTTAACACAGTCATATGATAATAGGTCTCCTGCCTACTATATTTTACCATATTGGCCAGAACTTCACTAAACTGCTAAAACTCAAGTTGCCCCAAAATATCAATGCCTTAGCATGGTTTTGAAAGCCTTTACTATTAGACCACAACCTACTTTTATTTATTAATATATTGAGTCATTTAACAGCACCCACCCTATCACAGGATAGAATTTAGCACCCACCCTATCACAGCCTCTGTGCTTGGCTCTGGGGATAAACCCAGGGAGTAACACTACTTTGCTCCTAGACACCCAGAAGTCTAAGCTCACTGGATAACCCTTCCTGTTCACATCTTCATAGCCTTATTCACCCTTTTCCTTCAGAATTTCCCTTCAGGAAATCCCTTTCCTCTTGTCAGCTTTTGCAATTGTACTGATGCTTCAAGAATCAGCTCAGTTACTCATATCAGAGACCCATAGAAAGAAAATGAATGGTGGAGACCTCAGGCCCAGAAGGATTACCAATAGCAGAATTGACCTGAAGTTTCCTAAATCAGGCAGGAAGGACAATTGCATAAAATGTTTTTGTTTGGAAGGTATGGAAACAAATAACTAAAAACTGTCATTTTACATTTCCACATTCAAACTGTCCTGACATTTTGAGGTTCTAGGTGACAGAAGGTCTGTGTTGTGTGATTGTGACCTGAACCTTCCCTTTTTACACTTTCTCTGCTCTGACTGTGGATCTGTTTCATAAATACAAGCAGAAGCACAAGATTGAAGATATATATATGAAGATATATAGTCTTCATGAAATAAACATTCAGTGTCTTATGAGCACCTGGGAATTAGCAGGGTGCTTGGGTCAACAATATTAAAATTTTTAACTTACATGTTCTAAAGCCAAAATTGTATATTTTGAGATTGTATATATGTACATATATAACATACATATATATACATACATAATATATATTAAGTACATATACATATACTTGGATTTTTATGCTAGAATACAGATTTTTTAAAAGAATTTTACCCAGCAGATTTAGCCATAAAGATATGACACATGTATTTCCTACACTAATATTAATTTTATAGATAGTCTTTAACACATTGTAACCATTCTTTTTGGATTCAAATGTAAGTATTTTTAAAAAGCACTTGTTACAAAAAATGTTGAATTAGGTTTTGAAAACCGCTCATTGTTAAGTTACTTGATTAGGAAAGAAATAGTGAAATGGAGGATACAAGGGAGAAGCACATTTTAAGTGATTAACTTAAGGAATCATTTTATAACTAGATGAAATTGAAAAGCAGAGTATAAGAGATTCGTCAGCATACATGAATACTTCAGGAAAATATGTCTTTTTACAATACTATTTCCAAATTGGGAAAGGAGTATGTCAAGGCTGTATATTGTCACCCTGCTTATTTAACTTATATGCAGAGTACATCATGAGAAACACTGGGCTGAATGAGCACAAGCTGGAATCAGGATTGCCAGGAGAAATATCAATAACCTCAGATAGGCAAATGACACCACCTTATGGCAGAAAGTGAAGAACTAAAGGGCCTCTTGATGAAAGTGAAAGAGGAGAGCTGGCTTAAAACTCAACATTCAGAAAACTAAGATCATGGCATCTGGTTCCATCACTTCATGGCAAGTAGATGGGGAAACAGTGGAAACAGTGACAGACTTTATTTGGGGGGGGGTGGGGCTCCAAAATCACTGCAGATGGTGACAGCAACCATGAAATTAAAAGACGCTTACTCCTTGGAAGGAAAGTTATGACCAACCTAGACAGCTTATTAAAAAGCAGAGACATTACTTTGCCAACAAAGGTCTGTCTAGTCAAAATTATGGTTTTTCCAGTAGTCATGTGTGCATGTGAGAGTTGGACTATAAAGAAAGCTGAGCGCCAAAGAATTGATGCTTTTGAACTGTGGTGTTGGAGAAGACTCTTGAGGGTCCCTTGGACTGCAAGGAGATCCAACCAGTCCATCCTCAAGGAAATCATTCCTGAATATTCATTGGAAGGACTGATGCTGAAGCTGAAGCTCCAGTACTTTGGCCACCTGATGTGAAGAACTGACGCCTTGGAAAAAAATCCTGATGCTGGGAAAGATTGAAGGCAGGAGGAGAAGTGGATGACAGAGGATGAGTCAGTTGGCTGGCATCACCAACTCAATGGACATGAGTTTGAGTAAACTCTAGGAGTTGGTGATAAACAGGGAGGCCTGGCATGCTGCAGTCCATGGGGTTACAAAGAGTCGGACGTGACTGAGTGACTGAACTGATAATACTATTAAACATACAAGTTCAGCTACAATCACAGTATAGTATATATATATATATATATATATATATATAACATATATATCCTAATATTCAGTTCAATAAAGCAGCCCCTAAGTCCCTATTTGCTTAGTAATGACTCTATTTAACAAAATAATGTTTTTAATTGTATACATCTGCACTGGCATAGCTTGCTATATCTATTTATGTTTTTGCTGTCTAGTTGCTAAGTCATGCCCAACTCTTTGTGACCCCACTGCCCACCAGGTTTCTCTGTCCATGTCTCCAGACAAGAATGAGTTGCCATTTCCTTCTCCAGGGGATCTTCCTGACCCAAGGATTGAACTCACGTCTCCTGTATTGCACGTGAATTCTTTTCCTCTGAGCCACCGGGGAAGCCCCGTATCTATATATACAATATACTTAAAATTTTTAATAAAATTTAAAGATTTTATAAAATGTTTTATGGTGAGTTTTTAAGAGGGTAGTTCTATTCATTATAAAACTTTTATTCACTAAGGGTAAAGCATTAAGACACCTATATAAAACATATGAAATACTTTGTAAGAAAACTAAGTAATGCAGGTACAGCAGAAATTAGAGGTTTCAATATAAGGTTACAATACAGCTTGTATATTCCTGCCTTGGGAGATTGCAAAAAGTCTAGATACTTAAAGAGTATTTACTTTTATATGATGAGTATTTCCCAATGGAAAGTGGCTTGAACCCAAGGGGTAAAATTTCTTTCCTTTGCCAGTTTCTTGATCTATGCTTAATCTAGGTTTAAAAAACAAAGCAAAACAAAAAACAGCAGAAATATCTAAAAAGGCATATTAAATTCCTTCATGAAGTACCTTCATCATCAGCTGTTCAGCCATGGCAATTCTCAAAGCACATATAGTTACAATTTATTAGAAAATATATACATATACAAGCAATACACACAGACACACACACACTCTCCACCTAAGAATCATTCAGAGACTCCTCACCCATTAGCAACATCTGCAGTTACAACCCAAACACCTCGTGTAGGAAAACTGATCCCCAAAAGCATTTTTAACCAGAAAAATTTGTAAAGTACATTAATGGTTATGTCCCTTACCTCAAATTTTGAGAAAACTTGTTACACAAGGATATCTAAAGTTATATACAAATACAGTTACATCAGAAGAAATGAATCTAAAAAGGAATAAACATTTATCTCTCTCAGACCAGCTTTTTAAATGGACTCCACTTTATGCCTAGAGTTTCTTATAAATTTTATTTTTTAAAATGTTGTATATGTCACAGTTTTATATTTTTAGTGCTTTTTATGAAACTTTGTGAAATCATTTCTCAGTTCTGAGCTCGCCATGGCCAAACAGTGAGCAGAAAGACCTTCTTCAATCTTGCCAGGGAAAACCTGCTTATGAGCAGTTTTTCAAATCACCAGAAAATGCTGGTCCTAAGCAGAGATCAGGAGATTGAAAAAATTATGTATTTTTCATTTCTAATCAACAAAGCCATGAAGCAGTGTCAAACTGACTTCTTGGCTGTTAAATCAGAGGATTAAATAGCTATAAGAATGTCAAATAAATATCCAACTTCTTGTTTAAAAAATAATCTAAAACTTTATCTACTTAAATCATTAGAGAAAGATATTAATTTATTACGCAATTTTTCTTTTCATTTCAACCACATACCAAGCAATGAGTTAGGTAAACACTTAGCTCATGGTGGTGAGTAAAACAAATGTGGCCTCTGCCCTCACAAAGCATATGGTGTAGCAAGACACCCATTTAATAAGAAAGCAAATAAACATGCAAATATATCACTTAGACATGTGATGTGTTAAGTAGGGCAGTGACTAAAGCACTGTGTTAGAGAAAAAAATGAAAGGAAGGAATCTTTCAACTTTCTATAAGGTGTCTTGGAAGGTGTAATTTAAGCTCACATCTGAA